CTGTCTTCTCTAAGGCTCATGCCCCAGGTCATGCGGCCGGTGGGTGATCATATGACAGTTGGAATCCAGTTCTACCTGACTCCATTTCTGAGAGGCATTCTCCTGCTCCTCCTCTTCTCTAGAGACCTAGTCAACTGTCTCCATAGGGCCAGGGGCCCACTAGTCAGAGACCTTTGTCCTGTAGCCTTGGGACAGAGTCCAAGGCAGAGTAGCCCAGCCCTTCCCATTCCCCCACAGAAAGGCCTTCCAATGAGTCAATGAGTTGTGAGTGTGTCTTGATCTGAGTACCTAAGTCCAGCCCCCACTTTTGATGGTAATTACCACAGCTGCCTGCAGGTGTTTTTTGTTTTTAAACCAAGACCTTATCACGGTTCCGAGCTCCAGAGATGACTGTCTTTCCATCCCATCAGCCCCTGCGTTCCCCAAGCTGAGAGCTGTGTGCGTGTTGTGTGTGTACGTGAGGAATGGACGCGGGAGCCTCCTGCCCCTCGTCTCATTGCTCTTCTCTGCCCCCCTTCTCCCAGCTGCAAGTCTGCTCTTCCTGCCCTCCCTGCCTAAGGTGCCCACCATGAATTGTGCTAAAACAGACTGGGCCATTAAGTGGGCTTCAACTTGGAAACATCCAGGTGTTTTCAAGAGACTATGTGGTCTCTGCTTGGACATTTCTAGACACAGGAAGATCACTGCTTATCAGAGCTGACCTAGTACCATCTGAATATCCAAAATGTCCTCCTTGGGGCTGGCCAGTTAGTTCAGTCGGTTAGAACGCAGCCTTGTAATACCAAGGTCAAGGGTTCAGTTCCTGTACCAGCCAGCCACCAAAATGTCTTCCTCGGAATGAACCCAAACCTGCCATTTCTCTGTTCCCCATCATTCCTAGTCACACAGAATGCACCCCCTCCTCTACATGACAGCTGTGCGAAGTCAACTTGCTTCCCACCCCAGCCCTGTAGGCCGACTGGGACAGGTGTTTAGTAGTTCGCATGGCGACCAGGGCTTCCCTACACATCACGCCCACTTAGCTCTCCCTGCTGCAGCTGCTGTGCTCGTGATGCCGCTTCCAGATGCCCACCTATCCTGTTCGCTTCCCCTCCAGCCTGCTTCCAGGTGGCTCTGTGGCACCCAGTGTGGCACCTGAACCAGTATAGAGTGCCAAGAGAGGACTGCAAAGAGAAGGCCCCGTGATTCTCTCACCTCCTTGTTCAGGAACTCTGCATCAGAGGTACTTAAGCCTAGTGGTTAATAGCGTGGGCCCTGGACCAAGACCAGACCTGCATTCAGAACTCCCAGCACTTACTTACTAGCTGTGCCGTCTTGGGCCATTCACTTAGCCGTTCTGTGCCTTGGCTTCTGCCCTGGAAAATTGGGATAACAGCACCTGACTTATTGGGTTGTTGTAAAGCCAACCTCCTGCCATGTAGTATCATAATTTTCAGCTAAATGGGGGTAGGAGGAGTGAGAATACGAATCATTGGGGAAGTTTTTCCAAATACAGGTATCTGTCGCTATCCAAAGTCTTACTGTCTCAAATCAGGAACGTCCGTTCGGAGAGTGAGGGGATACTCTTATACGTGTCTGTAGCCCACCTGCCCCAAATATCCCACCCGTGTCTACCAGATGAGAATCTCTTTAGGTGTACTGGTGAGGGGTTGTAGCTGTAAATGCAGCCTACGATGACCTTTGTCTCGGGTAGTCCTGTGTCCACCCTCTGAGGATTCAGACTGATCCCACTAAGAGTGAACCCCACATCCACCCTCACACACATCCTGCATTATCACCACTAAATAAGGTTCTCCTGCCCCACATTGATACTTCTGGGCACATCATTACGATATTCGTTCCAGTTTAAACTAACTAACCCAGGGGGTTGTGGTGGGATTACATAACGTTTGTGAAGTGCCTGACATGCTTGGCAAAGAACAAGTGCTCGGCAAATGTAAGCTTGCTGCCCTACCTAGGATGCCAGCTCCCAGGTGCAAGGGACCTTGACAGCTATTTATTTTGTATCTCCTCAAAGTGCCTTGAACAAGGCTGTGCCCACGGCAAGCTCCTAGGTCCTGCCTGCCAGCCCATTATCAACTTCAAGGTGGCTGTCTTCACTGAACTACTGATCTCGTTAGTCGAGGGCGCTGTGTACCTGGAACAAGCCCAGAAGAGGAAAGCATTGGAAGAGGAAAGTATTAAACAAGTGTGTAGGGCCCATTAGCCAGCTGGGGCCTGACCTATTGAGACTCTGGCCAGGGCGATCGGTTGGAAGAGAAAAGCTGGGGGGAGACAAGTCGGGATGCGGGGAGCCTTGGACCCCCAGAGCAGGGACTGATGACCAGAGGGGACAGATTTGATAGGAGGAAGAAGGGAGGGACTGAAAACACCCGCTCCCTTCTGTCCCGGGGGCTGGTCACCTCTCTGTTTCTCTCCGAGGTGCCCTCACCTCCCCCTCGCTGCCTTTTCCCAGGCCTCGGCTGCCCAGCGCCCTGGTTTGCTGGCGGCCTTTGAAGACTCTGCGGTTAGTGTGTGAGCTCGGCTCGCTGCGGCGCTGAGCAAACAGGAAGCGGGCACATCCTGCGCGCCCGCCAGGGACTCACTGCCGCTGCGCAGGCCCGGAAAGTTCTGCGTGCTGTTCCCTCCCTCACGGTTTCTGCAGCGGCGGCCCCAGCCCGGGACCCCCGGAGCTGCCCTCCCACCCTTGATCACGCCCCAGAGGCCCGACCGGTCCCCTACGCGGCTGCCGGGCTCCTGCATACGCCGCAAAGCCTTAGCCAGTTCCCGTGCTCGTGCCCCTGGGTGACCTGGGAGGGACTTTCAGGCTGGAATGCCAGGCTGTGGGGACGCGATCTGGGAGGCGGGATCTTTTCAAGAGTCTGCCTCGCAGGCTGAGTAGGCCGGAGCCAAAGGAAGTATGGTTTCAGCTTGGGGGACAAGGACCTAGTATTCCCTGGGCTGGCCCCGCCGCCGACGGATGGATGGAGCGAAGGTGTGGGCAGGGTCGAGGAAGGAACTCAAGGGAACGTCTTGGGAAGCGGGGGAGGGGGGGCAGCCCAGGATTTCACAAGTGCCACAGAACTGAAAGCCTTGAAAAGGTGCCTACCTTTTACCCCAGCAATTCCCCTTCTGGACATTTCTCCTGGGGGGGGGGGGGGGGTG